ACAAGTTCGATTCCCCAACAGGGAGGTGACCCACATGGCTCAGTAGACCTCTCCTATCTCACCGCTGCTCCCCTCAGCAGTGGATTTCAGTGGATCTGCCTGTTCTGCTCCCCACTCTGTCTCTGGTGAATCCTCTCATTTTTCATACTTCTGGCCTGTATCCCAGTTCTTGTATGCATAAATAAATAAACCTTTAAAAAAAATAGGATGTATCTTGTCACAATCCCATGAAATATTAAAAACATTAATTGATATCTGAGCTCAGCATGAGTTAAATATACATTGAATATAAAATATATAATATAAAACAAGTAGAACTATTTTCTAGCTTTTACATTCGTACACAAGAAATAATAAAGCAAGAGTTATTGCAAATAATATTAATCTAAAAAGAAAGCAAAAGCAAATTTCAGACTACAGAGGCTAGACCAAAATTGATGTGTGAAATCTTAACTAAAATGGTATTCAGAGGAAAATTCATTATATTCAATGTTTATATGACTAAAAAAGAAAACAAATAAAAATTGATGATATAGGCATTTGACTTAAGAACTTATAATTCTATGGACAAACTCAGTAAAATAGGGAAGACATCAGTAAAAAAGTGAGATATCAATGAACTGGAAGAGAAACAGTAGACCAAGTCAATTTTATTTTCCTTTGGAAACTTGTTCAAAGTGAAATAAAAAATAATAAAGAGCAAAAATAACTTGACCACCAATGAACAGGCACTAACAGGAAACACAGGCATATAAAGTGAGAATGGAAAGCAACAAATAACCACAGGCTTAGAAAAATTAAAAGAACAGAAAAGTACAAATATATAAATGCTGGGAGTTGAGGGATTTTTGCTTTACTTATCGATGTATCAGCTGCCTAAGACAGCCGAGCAGGGGATACCCACAGAAGAGCTGATAGTCTCAATGAACAGAAGTGTGAAACTATATGTCCTGGATATATTTTGAGGTGATAAATTTGAAAAAATTTGGTCCTTGACAAAATGGAAAATATGCAGACTTTCTTATTGATAGAGTTGAAATGCTCAGGGAAAATATTTTAGAACATTGAGGAACAAATTTTTTATTTATTTTCCAAAGATTTATGTATTTATGCATACAGAACTGGGGGGTTATTTATTTATGCATACAGGCCAGAGATTTGGGGGTGGGGGATGGTGAGAGGATTCACCAGAGAAAGAGTGGGGAGCAGAACTGGTTGATTGACTGAAATCCACTGCTGAGGGGAGCAGCGGGTGAGACAGGAGAGTTCTGCTGTGCCACGTGCCATGTGGGTCTGTTCCCTGGCTAAGGATTGAACACGTCCTGCAGTGGCTGTGGACAGCTTCATAGTGCTGAGACTTAACCCTTTGTACCACCAGGGAGGCCCAAAACAAATAATTTAAATTTAACTTAATTTGTTCTCAAGTGGAGAGAGTGAAAGAAAAATCTCTTTTAATAATAAAATGTGCACACGCTTGATAAAAGAATGAATTAATGAATATACATAAAGAAAGCTACAGAACAGTCTCTGATAACAGTATAAAAATGGTCAATAAATTATAAAAATTTAAAATGCTCACTAGTACATTACCAGATAGCAAGATAGTAAAAAAAAAGAAAAGAAAAGGAAAAAAAAAAACAACAACTGAACTAATCATTTCTACTGACTCCTGCTAAGTCTGCTCCTCCCTGACCCCATGTGACCCTAAGCAGGACTTTACATGACGTCTGCTCAAGCTCCAAGCCTTCTGGCAACTTCTTCCTTTCTTGGTAACCCCAAAGACAGGATTAAGGGATCTGTATGCTCCTTTGGCCTTGCAGAAATTTCCAGTAGTCTGGTTTGAATGGGACGCGATAAAGGGCTACGTACTTTGGTCAAGGCCACCGTCCCTTTCTCCGGCACTGTATCTGCTCCCCAGTTTTCCTGCTGGCCAAGAAGGAGCATGCTATCAAAAGTGCTGATTTCTCCCTCCCAACCCCTGTCCCCATCCAGAGAAGTAAGACCTTAGAGATCTGGTATCTGGAGGTGGCTGTACAGGCTGGAGTCTAGATGCTGGGATACAGATTTAGGTATGAGCTGTCATGATCAGAGACTGAAGTCGGCAGTAGAAACCTGAATTTAGGGAGTTGCAGAGAAATACGAGCTTGCAAAGCAGATGGTCCTAAGATGTGTTCCTCTCACAGTGCTGGAGGCTGCAGCCGTGAGCTCGGGCCAGTGTCCTTCGGAGCCTTATCAGTGGGAGACTGTGCCACAGAAGCCAGTGACCTCCAGAACAGGCATGGGCAGATGAAGAGACATGTGCAGGCGGGGGCAGCCCGTCCCGTGGGACTGTGGTTCCTGGCCAGTGAGTTGACAAGTACCTCTTTGGGGCTGCGAAGTTCCCTGGGCATGTCAACACTATTGGTGATGAATACCTGGACCCTGCAAAGCACGACTAACAGAGGCCACGTTTGCAACTGACGTCAGCTGTAGAGTATTTAGTTTTAATCAGTTAATTTGCTAGGACAATGAAGTGCCACAACTGGGTGACAAGCCACAGAAATCCATTGCTTCACAGTCCTGGAGACCAGAAGTCTGAATGCAAGTGTGGGTGGTGGTGTTTGTATCTGAGACCCAGGGGAGAACCTGATCCACGCCTCTCCTCTAGCTTTGCCTGGTTTGCTGGTTAGCTTGGGAGTCCCTTTCATTAGAAAGCTTCACCCTTAATTTTGCCTCAGTCTATTTATGGTGTTTTTGTGGGGGGGGTCTGTGTGCAAATCCCCCCCCCCTTTTTTAGATTTATTTATTTGTGCATACAGAACTGGGGCACAGGCCAGAGGTGCAGGGGCGGTGAGAGGATTCACCAGAGACAGAGTGGGGAGCAGAACAGGCAGATTGATAAAGTACACTGCTGAGGGGAGCAGCGGACAGGCCAGGAGAGGTCTGCTGTGCCATGTGGGTCACCTCCGAGGTGGGGATCGAACTCATACTGAAGTGGCTTTAGCTTCTTAGTGCTGTGCTTTAACCCGCTGCACCACCAGGATGGGCCCAAATTTCCCCTTTTTGTAAGGAAAGTCATCGTAGTTTCGGGTCCACCCTACTCCAGGGTAACCTCGTCTTACTAATCACATCTGCAGTGACCCTAATTTGTATTTTATTTTAAAGATTTTAGTGATTTATGCATACAAGAACTGGGGTACAGGCCAGAGGGGTGGGGTGAGGGGGGCAGAGACAGAGTAAGGAGCAGAACAGGCAGATCCACTGAAATATATTGCTGAGGGGAGCAGCAGGTGAGGCAGGAGATGTCTGCTGTGCCATGTGGGTCACCTCCCTGGCCGGGGGTTGAACTCATGGTGCAGTGGCTGTGGATGGCTTCATGGTACTGAGACTTAACACCTGCACTACCAGGTAGGGCCTGACCCTGTTCCTTAATAAGGTTATATTTTGTGATCCTGAGGACAGGACTTTATATGAATGGTGGGCGTTAGGGCGGTGTGGAGTGTACACATCATCTCAAAGTAGACGAGAGCTTGACAGACACAGACAAAGGCAGATGTGACATTTTTCCTGATCTTTCTGTTTTCTGTCTCCAACTGTCCCTCTCCCCCATCTCTGTTACGAATGAGAAGGAATCTTCTCCTGACGGGGAGAGGGGGGCTCCTGAGAACTCTTTTTCAGTCAATGCCCGTGTTTTAAAATTGTTTTTTCAAGTGCAGTCCTTTCTCCACACCAGCCACATAGAAATGTTTTAGCGAGGTTTGGTAATAGGGATCAGTTTCTTTCTTTAGCTGTGGGGCCCCTTTGATCGCCTCTGTTCTCAGAGCTCACTGTAGGAACTAGGTCTTTGGATTGAATTGAATTCAGATGACTTCCCCTCCTCCTGCCCCCTGCCCCCCAGAACAAAATGGAGATTTTTGGGTGGTAGAACAAATCATCAAATTTTATTATTTTTTGCAAACAAAATCATTTCTAGAGGACAGCATTCTAAGCTGTTAGAAGCAGCAGAGAAAAGTAAAATACAGATGAAATTTTCTTAAGAGGGCTAATTTCTCAGAAATGTGTTTTTTTTTCAAACTTCTATGATCCTAATAACACTTTCAGAGTCTTAAGTAAAATGATTTTATAAAAACTCTCCTTTCAATAGGTTCAGCAAAGACTTTGCTTTCAGTACTTTAAAGATTTGTTTATTTATGCATACAGAACTGGGTACAATCATCTCTGCATGCTCTCAATCCCTTCTTTAAATACAGTCATCTTTGCACTAGGTTACCAGACCGGGTTTGATTTGGGTACGTTGGTTGTCTGGAGCTGTTCTGCGTGCTCGTGTTGTATATGATGCACGGAGCAAGAACATGAGATGTCCAAGCCGGGTTCTTTGAAGCAAGCAAGAGAGATTCTACAAGTATCTACCCCTTTAGCGGGGCAAGAGCTAAATATACCCTGGATGGAAACAACACATCTGTTCTGGCTTTGCTGACCGCTGTGGTGTGTGTTTAGTGCTGTGTCTAGGTTCGTGGACACTTAGCCCTCTCTCCACCGAGTACAGCAGATCGCGTCCTTGTGTAAAAGGCAGAGGGGTGGATCTTATCTTGCTATCCTTGTCGAAATGGTGGCCCAAACCCTCATGGCCTGACTCTTGCAGACTCTCCCTTGTTGTCTTCTAAACCTTTGTCTCCTGCCCTGTTAACGGCTAGCAGTGCCGTACCAGTGACTGTACCCACATTCCTCGGTCTTCACATTTGCCTTCAAAGTCCTTTCTAGAATCTATTGTTTTTCTGCCTGGAGCCCAGGAGACATTGATCCGGAAGAGTAGGAGCTGATCCTTGCCTAATGATTATCGTAATGTTAAATCATCTTTCCTTCGACATAGGTAAATCATAGTCACTACACTATGTGAAAATTAAATATCTTTCCACCTCAAAATCTGAGAAGAGTAAAACTTTCATTTCCACATGGGAGGAAACCACCCAGCCCCACATCCTGACACAGGTGGGAAGAACCAGCGCAGGAGCTCGCCGAAGTCAGTACTCCTCATGAAATGGGTATTCGGGATGGTCACTCCACCTGCAGAGACATTTTTCCCAGAGGGAAAGAGCTTGAGCCAAGGGTTATGCAGCTGCATGAGTTACCAGCCTCCTTTGTCAACCTCACCTTTCTTTCCAGTCCCCCTTTTTCTCACCCCTCTCTTTCTCTGTTTTCCCTCACCCCTGGGCAGCTCCCTTATTAGTACAAGGGGTGATGGGCTGCTGCCGTGTTGATATTTTGCTCTGGACATAAGCACAGGCAGTAGATGTGCCTGCTGACGTTTGGATAAGTCCTCTCAATTCCTCCACTCTTCTCTCTTGAGCCAGACTGTGAAACACAATCTTTTTTTTTTTTTTCCCCAAAACCCTGGTTGCAGACAGTGTGACCCCCCTTCTCATAATTTCACTTGCCCCTCTCACTGGGCCTCCTGAGAGTGCAAGTTTGACATTTAGAAAGGTAACTGTTGTTTCCATGATGAGGCTGCTGCTGGTGGTGAACTCATCTCTTCAATAGCAAGGGCATATATAAGCATCATTATCTGCAACTATGATGAACTTTAGGTTATAAAACAAAAATAAAGATTCTCAATTGTCAAAGATGAAGTGGGTGAAAAATAGCAAAGAAATGTGGAACAGCACCCTAAGTGAACCTTTTCACGGGGGGCTAATCTTTGCTTCTCCTTGCTGGCTTTTCTAGTTGTTTGCTGATGCAATGAGTTACGTCTCTAGTGGTGGTAGAATTAGGTATGAGCCATGTCAAGACCAAATGAAATAACATTACCAACCATCTGGAAATAAAGGAAAATCAGTTCATGGGTGGGTTGACAGCTCTCTGTTCAACAGACATTTATCTTCAAGAGCCAGTAATTAACCTTGATGTTTTCTGTGTTCGTGTTTGTGTTTTTGTCCTTGCTAGGTGTACCTTTCGATGTCACATAATTTTTTACCCTGGAAAATTCACATTTGAAAATTGTTTGATTCAGAAAGTTGGTATTAGGAGAGTCTGCTCACTTTCTAATTCATGGCTAAGCATGGCACTAGAAAGAGTTCCAAATACGAACTATTTTAACAAACACTTCCTAAAAGCTCACTTAAAGATTGCAAAACAGATGACTATCCATCCAGGTCATTTGAAGAACTGCAAATATTAGTGAACAATGATTGAGAGAAATCATTTGTGTCTACCGAATGTGTGCATAAATACACATATATGTAAACTATGTTGTTTTATAAATTTTAAAAACATGACATATTTGGAGAACCAGGAGCTACTTCTGTTGAGAGCATCTTCAACTAGTGTCAGGGATGTTCACAAGCGGAGCTAGACAGTCCACGTCCCAGAGGCAAGCATTCATGTAAAACTCTAGATTTTGGGCTCCCTACCCCTGTGTTCTTTCTACCACACTCTCATCCCTCGCTTTTTGAGAAAACTTTTCTCTCTGAGGCATCACTTTTAGGGAGAAACAAATATGTTGTGAGTATATGTTGTATCACCACTGTGCTAACATATAGTCGGAGGTCATTAGGCTGACTCGCACCTATGTAAGCCTCGGGCAGCCCTGCTGCTCTGTGGACACGTGTCCAGGCTCCTGGCCCTCTGGTGGACGCCTGACTCTTGGCTACACAAGCGTAACCCGAGCAACACCTGAGTCAGGATTTCCCAAACTCACATAAGCAGCTCCACGAGACGGACATTTTTATTCAAGGCTTCAATGTTCTGCATTTCTTCATCAGTGAGAGAAAAGTCAAAGATCTGAAATGAGGGGAATAAACAGTAGTGAGGAAGGTAGAAGATGGAACAGCGG